TGCTGAATCGTATATATCTCAAATTATGCTACCCATTTTTGGTGTCATAATATGCACTCAGTTTCAATTTACTGTGACAAGACCATGGCAGGACCTCACCACGGTAATACTTGGCTCTGTCAACTCATTCCACTTCTCCAATTCACTTTTCCATAAGCCTCGTTGTCGAATGATGTCTGTGCAGAGATTGTTCAGATTGCTCCCTAATTTCCTTTCCAAACTGTAAGGAGATTAGATCTGGGAAAGCAAGCAGAATTGCCTTTTGACCCAAAGAAAAATAATTACATCAGTTCGCACAAATCCTGTGAAGATCTGCTGTGAATAAACAGCAAAGGTGTGAGGAGAAATATTTAGTGTGTTTCCTATGTTTACATTCAGTGATAACCGTGACACTGAGGATGTAAAGCATACTGACAAATTTTCTTATCCTTGATTAGAAAAGGTGTCTCAACACATCAAGGCATCCTATCAAGAAAGCAGCCAACTGTCAAGAGAAATTGATATACATGTGTGTGCGTGCGAAAATTTGCACAAAATGTGTGTATTTTGCATGCAAACACATACAAAACCTTTATCACTCAAAAAGCATTAGGCTGAATCCTATTGTTACTCCCTTACAGAACTTGCCTACAATGACAAAAAAATCTATTTGGTACCCTATTTCCCCCATCAGCATTTAATATACTTTATTTATATTCTGCTCTATCTCCCGAGGGGACTCAGAGTGGATTACAGAACATATATGGCAAATATTCAATGCCGTTATAAAATTAACAAAGACAGACAGTACATAAACAGAAATAAAAGGCTTCCCATCTTTTTCCACATTACTGTTTTCGAACTGCTAGGTAAGCAGAAGCTAGGGCTGATGGAGGGAGTTTACCCCAACCCGCAGCTTGAACTGCCAACCTTCAGGTCAGCAAGATTTTCTGCAGCTGGCGGTTTGACCCGCTGTGCTATCCACAGCTAACCCTGCAGAATTCACCTCACTATTAGGGGGCAGTCTACATTTCCAATCTTTTCCATTATTTTTGTTTTTTATTATTCCCCTTCCAGTCACACATACAAGTAAATGTATTTTTGGTTAAACAAAAGTATGCTAATCCTATAGACTTATATAGAAGTATCTCCACAAACAAACCTTTTTTAAAATCAACTTGGGAAAGAGTCACTTCCTAACAGGAAGTAGGTGAATTACAACTCCTATCATTCTCTACCGAGTCCCACATAACTCACCAGTATTTAAAGTTGGTAATTATGGGTATGTGTGCCAAATTTGGTCTAAATCTATCACTGGTGGGGTTCACAGAGCTCTCTAGATGTGAGTGGATTGCAACTCCCATCATCCTCTTCCAACCCCCAAGCTCCAATCACCTGCCAGTATTTTAATTTGGTCATGATGGAAAGGTGTGCCAAATTTGGTCAAGATCCATCATTGGTAGCCATGATGGGGCTCTTCGGATGTGAGAGTCCTCTTAGAAAATACATGCATAGATATATGCGTGAATGCATGCATGCATACATACAAACTTTGACTTTTATTATACAGTATCTATAGATTTAATCTATGTTACTATATATTTAACAATGACAAAATCTTTTGTCATGAGCCAAGCTGTTAGAGGAACAGAAAGGAGTATTAAACTATTCTTACATGGTGACAGTTAGAAAACATATTTTATAATAAATCCTAAAGAAGTGGTGTTGTGTCTTAAATTTCCACTCAACGTGAGGCCACAACTTCCACTCAGAGCCATAAGGTAAGCATCTTCACATTGGACAAAGTAGTGGGATGTCCATAGTCACATTCAGTTCTCTTCATTTCCATATAATCCAGAATATCAAGGTAGATAATCCGCATTATCTGTTTTGAACTGGATTATCTGAGTCTACACTTCTATATAATCCAGTTTAAAGCAGATAGTCTGGATTTTATACAGCTGTGTAGAAGGAGCTTCAGAGGATTCATGGCTCAGTTAACACTAAATTACACCAGTTCTCAATAATATAATTTGCCTTTCCATCATATTAGCCCAAATGACAGAATTTTTTTTAAAGATGACGTATTTGAATTAAAGATTGCTTTTCTAGGGCCTTTTCACATAGCCATGTAGCCCAGAATATCAAGGAAGACAATCCCCAATATATGCTTTGAAATGGGTTATCTGAGTCCACACTGCCATATATAATCCAGTTCTTTGTGGATTTTATACAGCTGTGTGGAAAGGGCCTTAGTCTCATTTCTTAGAAACTTCATCTGGCACACTATTTAAATTTCCTGCACCTCAATTATTCCAAACATAAAGTGGAATATCAAGTAATGAGTTATTCAGCTGTGTCAGAATGGGCTAAATATGCTTACTTTCCTGTTTTTAAGGCCAAAATTTCCCCTGGGCCAAATCCCCCTCCAAATGCATGTTACACCTTCAAAAAGGCTCCACGATCCATTCCTTTTACCTACAACAAGGTAGATAAAAACATTCAAGTCTCTGAAATTTACGTACATATTTCAAGTTACTTCTAGTTGGGATTAGATCTAGTTCGTAAGTTATCTTCTGTGCAATAATAAACTGTTAAAATATTGGCACTACAAAAGCTGTCATATAAAAAGCATGCATATTTTTCACAGGTGAACAGTTATAAGATTTCCAGAAGTCCGCCAGTTGTGTTTAAGTCTTATCATATATGAGGCCAAAAGATTTCCCTGTCTTGCCACGCAAAAATTAATTAAGTTCCAAGAATGGGGTTTTCAATTCCCAACTGGTTTTGAGTAGAAATTCAGCCAAGACATTACTATTTAGCATTCTAATTATGAAACTTTTCCCTGCCTGTCAACACAATAGTAGCTGAACTTTTTTGTCTTAAAATGGTCAAGAGATTTAAAGAAGTTTTAAATTGTTAGCATTCATGGGAGGCAGAAGAATTTAAATCACCAAATCTGTTTCCATTCAAATTAAAAAAAAAAAAGCTTTTCAAAATATTGATCTGCCTACCATAACAAATGGTTAAGAGTTTACGTCATTCAGTGATCAAGCTCTTAACTCAAATTGCTCTTATCTCAAAGCAGATTTTTCCCACTGAAATGCTACTAATCCGTTCAAGGGCCCCAAACCCCACTTTTTTGTTACGTGTTTTAAAATAAGAAAATGTACTTCATAAATAACAAATAATGTATAAATGCATTTTCACATGGAACAAGACAAAAAAGAAAGTTCAAATTTAAGATGGTAGAAGCACAAAGTTGTGGCAAGGAAGCACATCTGAGGCAACAAAATGTATGTTGGCCAGCATAACAGCAAGGCAAAACTTGCACATTCACATGGAACAATTAAAAAATAAAGATCAACTTTAAAATCTTAGAAGCACAAAGTTGTGACAAGGAAGCACAGAGCACAAAAGGCAGAGACAGAAGCATCATTTTCTTGCTATTGTGCTCATTCCAGCCTCCCTCCCGCTCTCTCTTGCACTCTCTCCCCCCTCTCTCTTCACGAAGCCAAACATACCAGGAATAAAAACCACACAAAATCTACTAACCCAAAGTTCCTCAAAGTGGATAAGAACAAAACTGACCCTGTAGTCTGGCATTAGCTCTTTACTCAAAACGTTGCTCAAATGTCAAAGTGAAACCAGAGGCGTGCAATTAACTCTTAACTCAAAATGCTCTTAAGTCAAGGTTCTACTGTATACAAATATGAACCTGCCTTTTTTAACTCTCCATTTTATGGTTACAGTCCACACAAGGGGTCTACACACACCCTTCCTGTCTACATGTTAGTGTAAATAAAATAAATGAACAACTCAATTCAAGAATGCATTTTGAACATATATAAATGGTTCAAAATATGTACGTTAAAATATGAGCAGGAATCTCTCTGGCAAAAAGAAGGGTAGCCCTAATAGTTCTGGTTTACAAAGACAGAAATTAATTGAAATCAGTGGTGCAGTAGCTATCAACTATTATCAAGAAAAACACAGGCTGTGCCCTACAGCTGCTCGTTTGTCCTACCCTACCTAGTGTTTTATATTTCTAAGAAAACTAGAGACATGATCAGGATAAGAGTCAAGGCCCTCCAAGAACACTATCAGAATCCAGTCTTCAAAATCCAATGTTCTTTAGTCCCTAGTTTTCTGAAGTTGAAATTCTTGCATTCCTGCACATTTGTTCTGATTTCTTTCTGTCTCTCGCTATATATACACATGTGTGTGTGTGTATGTATGTATGTATATGCACACACACGTGTGTGTGTGAGAGAGAGAGAGGGGGAAGGGAGGGGGGAGGGAGGGAAAGAGAGAGGGAGAGGGCGAGGGAGAGAGAGAGTTTTTGAATCTCCAGTTTGTCCAGACAGTTCTGGTATCACACAAAGATCCATTATATCAGTGATTCCCAACCTTTTTTTGTACCAGAAACCATCAGGCCAGGGACCTCTTAACCAGAGGCCACTTGATCAGAGGCCACTTTGACCAGGGACCACTCTCCAACATTAGTACTAAGAGTTACGAATCAGTTTTTGGTCAACTTTAGATTTGGTTAGGTTATTTAGGGTGCCGATTAAGAGAATTGCATTGGATAGACCACATCAGCTCTAGTTTCTGATATAAAACATTTGCCATAGAGTAGTCGGAATCTGCACGCCTACAGAAAACCATATTTGATAAGCCTTGGTAGTATAAGAGGGTTTTGCGAGACCAGTCTCTCTCGTTGCAACAGTACAGTAATGGTGAGGACGTGGACCATATTTTAGTTCTTGCAGACCACTGGTGGTCCATGCATTATATGCTTTTATTCTTAGAAGGTATATTATTTCTGCCTTCCTGGAACCTGGCAAATACATCCTGCAACAATTTGAACAGAATGTTACAGGTATTCAAGAATTTGTATATGGGTTCCATAAGGAGTCACTTAGGCAGAGAAACCTGTGAAGAGTTGTGGGCCCCTTTCACCCTTCAGTGCCACAGCAGACAAACAGATATATGAAAAGGTATAGTAATATCCACACAAATTACATGTAATGTAAATTTATTTTTAAAAATTAAATACATTAATCAAAGAAGTATGTACAAACATCTCCCAGCACAGCACAGAGTTTCACCTGCTATGCAGAAAATCAACATGGTTCCACTGGAAAATTGCACATGGATTCAGGTTGAACAATGAAGACTTAAACAGTTCACATCTCATCTTGAAGAAATGAATTGTCGTTCGAGACTATTCAGAGGATATTCTTGCATCTTTGTGTACTAAACCAGTGGTTGCAGGAAGCAGAACTCCACTGGGGAACATGCAAATGAAATGAAATTTGCCTGCCAACATCTACAAAAGTCTACATGGAGTCATTTGATCACAGCTTAACTGAAAACGATGACCCACAGGAACAACCTTGTTCTGCTTGTGGATTGTTCACCACCTGGAAGGAACTGCGAATTAGCTCCTGGTTGAAGTCGACTATTGCTCCTTTCACAAAGCTTAGGCTGTCCAAGTCCACAACCACTCGGGCACCGCCTTGTTCAAAGATCCTGGAGGAGATCCATATAGCATGTTAGGGCACTTGAACAGACAACTTGAAAGACTATATATCTGTCTATCTCTAGACCACACACAAATCGGCCTCCAAGATTTACTACATGCCTGTCACTGCTTCTTAAACTGTGGGTCTCAACCCCAAATGGGGTCCCGTAAGAAAAATGGAGGCCACGAAAAAATTGGCAAGAGTAAAAGGTGTCTGAATGTCACCTAGTAGCTGTTTTAGACATTGACACAAATAAACACTGCAGTGTTTACAGTGGGCTCTCCATTATAAATGCTTCAGATGTACTTCATAAAAGAGAAAAAAACAGCCTGTTTAGCCTTGCAAAGGGAGATTTATTATATATGTATTATCAGTAAATGTTTGATTTTATATACTTATATACCCAGGATCACATAAATGTTTCTTGGATGGAAAAGGGTCACATGTGGAAAAAGTTTGATAAGCCTGCTCTACATGTCCTAAAGGGTAGTCACCCAGCTCCAACCATCATAAAGATCAAGGAACACAGGAGTTTTTGTAGAAAAATTCTAGAATATATTAAACAGAGAAAGCTCTCTGCATTTTATCGATCTGAAAAAAATAAGAATTTAGATGTCTTGAATCAGGTTTTTATGGTCATGAACCTACAACACTTGAACTCCTCTTCGAAAAAGGCATGTTGGACCAACTTTTCAAGAGGAAAGTCATAATCTTTCTCTTTCTAGATGTTTTTGATCTTATCAAGTTCCCATTTGTAACAGATGTTACTTTACCCTGTTTTTCTTGTCGATGTTGTTCTTTATTCATTAACCCTTCTTCTCTCCCATCTACCATTCCCTCCCCCACTACACACACAGGGATCTATTTTCTTACCTATCATCCGAATTCACAACTGTATCCAAGGAAAATTTATACTGGAAACCAGAACAGCCACCTCCTTCTACTTGCAGCCTGAGAAACTCAGATCCTTCAGCAATCTCCAGTAGTCTCTATTAAAACACAAAGGGAGAGGATGGGCAGGATTCATACAACTAGAAAGACTGTTCTACAGAATGGTGAACACCAGACAAAGAGCGACACAAAGCACATGATGGAGAAGGAAGTTATCGTTATCAGCCTGTTGGCACATTATTTCACAACTGCTACAAAGGAGGTCTTTGTATGACTTATCTAAGAATAAATGGGTTATTATCGCAACAAGCCTCCAGATCAATTCACATGACCTATTTCTTTATCTTAACTGAAAATAAGCCCGAATTTTATCTCTCCAGCATGGATCAAGTACTGCATCGCAAATCTAAGTTCCTGTGCCACCATATGTCACTGGTAGCACACTGTGCATCATTATATCAAAGCATGGCTTTATGATATGGTGAGATAATGGAGATTGTCATTAAAATAATGTGTACCCTTTGGACTAGGGCAGTCACACACTTATCGTACACACAACTTTACACATTTATACCCAATGGTGCAGTCACATCAAATAACAGACCAAATTACAACTCAGGAACATTACAGCTGGCACGTGCATAGGATGACTTCCAAAGAATGTTACCTTCACACAATTCTCACTGAGAGAGATTTGTCCTTCACTGGAATCACTCTGGATGCTGGCAGAGGATGCTACCCATTGCACTCTGATCCTTGGCATACAGGTACCAACCTGTGAGGCATGCAATGGAGTTTTCATGTGATGCCAAAGATGAAAGGGACATCTATATGGGAAAGATGAGGAATAAAATGTCTTCAGTTGTTGGATAAAAAAATCATCAGATTAGCAATATGGGGAATTACAGTAACATAAATGCTCTATTAGGAAAAGGCAATGCCAGACAGACAGAATGTCTTACAAGTTTAGAGGAACTATCTCCAAGAAGAAAACTGAGCACACCAGCTACAGTACTGTACAGTTCAATGCAATTTAGTAGTTCGGCATATGGACCTGGTTAGCTCTGCATTTAGTAGTTCTGTATATATACTATATGCAAGGTTGGGCTGTATACCACTGTAAAGCCCCTGAAACTTACCCACCTTCCTAACAGCCAGGCTATTTCTTACCTTGTGGGGAGCATACAGAAGCAGAAAACAATTGCCCTATACACTCATGTATAAATTTAAAAAAATTGTTAAAAACTGATACCAAAACCTTTGGTCAACTTATCCATGAGACAATCTAAGTACCGTATATTCCGGCATATAAGACGACTGGGCGTATAAGACGACCCCCAACTTTTCCAGTTAAAATATAGAGTTAAGACGACTCCCATGCATAAGACTACACCCGCGTATAAGACGACCCCTGACTTTTGAGAAGATTTTCTTGGGTTAAAAAGTAGTCTTATACGCCAGAATATACTGTACCTTAACAGTTATAAAAAAGGAACCATCCTCTTCTCTGAGTTGAGCAGCAAAAGGTGAAACCTTAAGTCTGCCCTGGATTTATAACCAAAGTAGACTTCTACATGAGTATATATGGTACATCACTGCTGGAATCCTTTGGAGGTCTCAGCATTGTTGTAACCATCTTGCATCTGACTATATTGCATAGCCAGATGCTTGTCTGATCCTACGTAGCCTCAAGATGGCATAGCATGGCTACACAGGATTAGCATGCTTCAGAGGCTTTATAGCAAGTCCAGAAACACTTTGACAATTGCAGAGAGGTGTGTGCCAAAAAGCATAGAGAAAATGTACACATACCTTTTTGGTACACAAAGACAAAAATACACTCTCAGAAAACCCAGAGGCACACTTTTCATCCTATCCATTCCACCCTTATATCACAGTGCTGACTCAAGGAGAATTTGAACATTTACTATTAGTTTTAAGACTAAGGTCTGAACCGATGTCAAGGAAGGCAGCACTTCCTTTACCTGGTCAAAGTCATGTATCCGTCTTTTGAACACAAAGTCTTTTCATCATTTTACAAAGAACTATTATATAAAACCAAGTACTGGTATACCTCAGCTAACAAAGAAAGTTGTGTTCTTGAACATTACTTTTTTAACAGAAATTATTGTGCCAGAGGCAAAAATATAATCAAAAGAAGAGAGATAGGTTCCTTCATCACAAAAAAACATGTTTCAGCATCTTTTAAAATTCAAGACTAACAATATGCATGTGTGAAATGAAACAAGCTTATCCGGTAAGCCTTGAAGAAGTAAATAAAAAATCTGAACCTTCTAGGGACCACCTGAATGGATTTTCTAAAATCCATCCAGAGGCGACTTCATATTTTATCAGCTTCTACTCATATGATTTGCATTTGATGGTCTAACTTGCAGATAGTGGCTCAGTAGGTTAGAGCGCTAAGCTGCTGAGCTTGCTGACCGAAAGGTCGCAGGTTTGAATTCAGGGAGTGGCATGAGTTCCCACTGTTAGCCCCAGCTTCTGCCAACCTAGCAGTTTGAAAACATGCAAATGTAAGTAGACTGATACGGCTCCAGCAGGAAGGTAACGGCACTCCATGCAGTCATTACAACCACATGACCTTGGAGGTGTCTACAGACAACACCAACTCTTCGGCTTTGAAATGGAGATGAGGACCAACCCCCAGAGTTGGACACAACTGGACTTAATGTCAGGGGAGAATCTTTACCTAACTTGCAGATCTATACTTTTTAACATGCTGGAGAGAGGTGTGAAACAGCCTCTTTTCATTCTATTCTACCCTTCCTGCACACTGAGTAAGAGAATCTAGAGGCAGCAACCAAATTTGCCTGTTGTGGGCAGGCACAAACAGCTATAGAAGGATCAGTTAAGCAGAATTTTTCTTTCCCAGCTCAAGTTTTATTGCACTAGTTAGTGCAGGCACAACACCAAAAGGCTGTGTTTCTCCAGTTCTTTTTCACTATCCGCCCAATGCAAATGCTGCTAAAAAAAAAATCCAGCTAGACAGAGAACAAAAAAGAAAAAGAGGGGCTGAGAAACCATAACAAGACTTTGTAAAAAGCAGCTTCTTTATCAACTTTGTTAACTGAGGTATGCTTGCATTCAAGAGTGTACTTTGGCCTTTTAATAAACTCCACAAACGACATTACTGACTTCTCTTTGTAACTATAGGAGATTTATTGAGACCGCATTTGTGGCCTTCTGAGCAGGAGGGAGCAATTGCTACCTATAACAATTATGTTACAATCTTAATGACTTTTTTTGAAATACAGAAGCAGTTGTCCATTCAAATTATAAAGGAGAAATTGTGAGTCATTCAACTTGAAATGAGCACTGGTTATTTTCTTCTGCATTGGCCTTGTGTACATCAGAAACCAAATCATCTCTGTAGCTATTTTTCTTGTTCTTACCGTTCTGTTGTCGTAAGCCCTATACATGAACCTTACTTGAACCCAGCTAAACTCCTAGACTCAATACAAACTTCTGATCAGAAGATCCATACACTAATTATGTCATATAAACAATGTGCTTTGTTTTGTCTTTCAATTTTTTTTAAATATTCCCTTTGTTCTTTCCTGAACCATTCCTTTCTCTCAGCAATGTATCACTACAGCTCAATACTGTATATAGATTTCCCAAGTGATTATTTTGGTCAGTAAGCGAAGAGTTCTAGATGCTTAAATATTGATAGTCTAATGATGTTAACATTGTTTTCATCTTTACTTTTCATTTTAAAACATCTACATCTTTAAGATTCAATTATAATAGAAAATGCAATGCTGTTAGATGCACTTCTTTTACTATTATACTGTATATCAATAGGGCGGTTCTCTATAGATGGATGCCTTCCTCTGTTTTCCTGAGACATGTTAATAAACCTCTAAAGTAATTCTGTATTAAAGTGTATCTGTGAAGGAATAAAGAAAACTGGAAAAGTAACCACTGGTAAAGGATGGTAAAAGATACTGCTCTGCTGCAATATCTTAGGCCAGCTTTCAAGGCAAGGGGGCTCAACAGTGGCAAGTAGGTACTTAAAAGTATTTTCTTTTTACAAAACTAACCCAGAGACAATATTGCATGAAAATAACCATCAACTGAAGTAGAAATCAATCTTAATAGCATGATAGCAATAACAAAATTAAAATGAAATAGCCATGAATTCTGCATCCAAAAATGTGACCATCCATGGTGAGAAAATGTTTAAAAATAAATGCTAAATTTGAAGAATAAACCTTGATTTTGCCATGTTATTCAAAGGACACCATTTTACTATCCTGTTGTGTGTGTATTGAGTTTGGTGCAAGTTTAAAAAAATTGTATCTATGTAATTTATTATATATATTTTTATGTTCATGTTTTTGAATTTGTTGTACCCTGCCTCAAGCCATTAGGAGAGGCGGGCAATAAAAAATAATATTGGGCTTGAGCAGATGGGGACTTCTGGAATTAAGTCTCTGTGGATACTAAGGGCCCACTATATTACAAATTGAACAAATAGCAAAACAATTACTATTGGTGGGGACGAGAGACAGGGCCTTCTCGGTGGTGGCCCCTCGGCTATGGAATGCCCTACCTGCGGACATCAGGCAGGCCCCTTCGTTGCTGGTGTTTCGGAGGAGGGTCAAGACGTGGCTCTATGAACAGGCGTTCGGCTGATAATGCAACTGAACTCATGAAGACGGCATAATTTAACAAGGAACGATAGAAGGATTATGAGAACAGGATCTGATTTCAATGAGGCGTTGATGATTATGTGTGTGTCGTCTGTGTTGATGTGTTTTAAATTATTGTCACTGTTACATAAATTGTACCGTAAACCGCATTGAGTCGCCGAATAGGCTGATAAATGCGGTATAAAAGCGAAGCAAATAAATAAATAAATAAATATATGAAGAGGAAATATAATAACAGTTAGAAGGAGGGCAAATTACTACCAAATTGCATTCAAATCCTTAAATATGTGTACTGAGAAGTTCCATGTTCTCAGCATAACTTACTCTCAAGTTTGTTTGCACAGGATAAATTATCTGAAACCTTTATTTTCACGAGAAGGCTGAACTACGGTAGTTGTAATATTTGTGTGAACCCTTAAATAGCTAAGGGGAAAAAGAAAGGAGCATGAGGCTGATAGGAATTGTGGGAGTTGAAGTCCAAAACACCTGGAGAGCCAAAGTTTGCCCATACCTGCTCTAAAGGGTGCATCTACACAGTTTGACACCACCTAAATTGCCATGGCTCAAAACTAATGTGTGTGTGTGGGTGTATGATGTCGATGTGTTTCGACTGTGTTGTACACCAAACTAATATATACTCACAAATACAACAGTATGTATAGGTCAATAATCAATAAACAGGTATGAAATATAAACTTATATTGAATAAACAAGTACAAATTTACAAGTATAACGTTGATGCTCCATACATCAGAATGAATATCAAATTAAACATAAGTTTGCCGCTTGTAAAGTCAGTCAGTTGAATTGAAGAGTCTATAGATCACACGACCGGTTTTGACTTTTTTAATCTTCCTCAGGCAACTATGTAATTGTATATTTCCATGATAAACACTTTACATTCATCTCTCAAGTAGTATTATGTCTTTTTTCAATTTATATCAATGGTGGGTAAGTGTGAATTTATATCTTTCTGAGATACTCTGTTAACACTCTGTTCTTATTGCGCCTGAGGAAGACTAAAAAAGTCAAAACTGGTCGTGTGCTCTACAGACTTTTCAGTTCAACTGGCTGACTTCACAAGCAGCAAATTTATGTTTAGTTTTATATTCATTCTGATGTACGGAGCATCAACGTTATACTTGTAAATTTGTACATGTTTATTCAATTTTATATTCCATACCTGTTTACTGATTATTTATCTATACATACTGTTGTATTTGTGGATATATATTTGGTGCATAATCAGGAATCCATTTAATTTATATTCTTCCAAAGCTTTGACTGTGTTGTACCTTGCCTCAAGCCATGAGAAGGAGAGTAACTAATAATAATAATTATTATTTGAAACACAACAAGATGAGTCCACAGCACTGCTGGCTGTTGTATTGGATCATACGTCAGACACTTCCCAAGTGTCTAGGACTGTGTGATGTATCAGCACATAATGTGTGCAGATCCCAATAAGGTGGCCTTCTGCAGCTGGCAGATGGTAATTTTGTCAGCGCTGATTGTGTTTAACTGCAGGCCAAGGTCTTTAGGCACTGCACCCAGTGTGCCTATCACCACTGGGACCACCTTGACTGGCTTGTGCCAGAGTCTTTGCAGTTCGATCTTTAAATCCTCATATCATGTCAGCCTTTCTAGTTGTTTCTCTTCAATACTACTGTCACCTGGGATTGCAACATCGACAATCCATACTTTGTTTTTTAATAGGATCGTGAGGTCAGGAATATTGTGCTCCAAACTTTGTTTGTCTGAATTTGGAAGTCCCAGAGTAGTTTGACGTGTTCATTTTCTGTAACTTTTTCCAGCTTGTGATCCCACCAGTTAGTTGTCGCAGGCAGATGGTATTTGTGGCACAAGTTCCAATGAATCATCTGAGCAACTGTGTTATGTAGTCTGTCTGCGCAATCTTCTTGCAGCAGCTGAGGATGTGATCTAGTGTTTCATATGCTTCCTTGTAGAGTCTACATTTGGGGTCTGTCATTGACTTTTCAATTCTGGCTTTGGTGGCATTGATTCGAATGGCTTGTTCTTGTGCTGCCAGAATCAGGCCCTCCATCTCCTTTTTCAAAGTTCCATTTGTGAGCCACAGCCATTTTTTCTTTGTCAATTTGGCTCTCAATTTTCCCAGGAACTGTCCATGGAGAGCCTTCTTTCACCAGTTTTCTCTTCTGTTCTAGATTGTGTTTTTACAGTATTCACTATTTGGGATCACAAGCCTTTTGCATTATTATTGGTATTATTACTATGGAATCATGGGAGATGTATTCTGGTAAGGCACCAGCACTCTTTAGCAGAGAAGGCTTGTAAAACCACAGCTCTCATAATTCGATAGCAATGAGTCATAGCAATTAAAGTGGTGTCAAACTGCATTAATTCTACAGTATAGATGCACTATAAGACTGAAGGAGAAATTTCAACAAAACTTGTAACTATTACACATTATGAGGGTTGCCAGAGTGAAAACTAGAGAGGCCTCCTGCGCCTTTAAAATCCTTCAGAAGCAGGAATTTTGGCAGATGTATATCACCAGGTAAGAAGCAATTCTTTCTTAATCTAGGAGCCCTCGCTAGTTTTCACTCTGTCAACAACAACTGGTGTTTACTTGTCTGACGACCTAAAACTATTTCGACTCCATGAACCGCCTTCGCTATTTTCTTAAGTCTGCCTTCTTCCAATTCCCAACCTCTGGGCCTCCAGGCTTTTTTGGGACTTCAAATCCCAGAAGCCTCAGCCAGTTTAGCCAACTGCCAGGAATTCTGGGAGATGAAGTTCAAAACACCTTGAGAACTAAAGATTGAAAGCCGTGCGTGGATTCTTAAACAAAGGTGACTCCCTCCCTTCCACTAAAAACCATCTCGCTCAGTCTGAGGGCAGCTTTGGACGACTGGCGGGAAAAGGGGAAAGAACCGCCACTACCTGCTCCGCCCGCAAATCTTCAGCGCCCTGAAACAAGTAAGTGCTCCCAGTGCCGCCATGTTGTTCTCCTCTTGACTCTGTCTCTATTGGTGCAAACGAACCATATGTCCCGCCTACGTCGTACGTCAATTGGTTTACGGCAGAGGGGACGGCTGCGCCATTGGAAGTTAGCGGAGAGTGACGGGAAGGTCACGTGGTTTGGAGTGAAGGCGAGGAACTCCGGGCGGAAGGGTCTGGGAAGCCAAGTCTCATGTTTGTACATTCTGAAGCATTTTGATTGGCTGGCACCGAGACCTCAAAGGCGGGAACTTTTACTACTGCCGCTTGAGTTTCTTGTGTAAAGTGAGAATCTGTTTAGGGGTGAAAGGAGTTTCCTTCTATTATAATTGCAGAAAAATAACTGAAAAGCTATTCTAAATGAAAACATTGAAAACATAGCATCAGTTGGGGGGCCCTCCCTCCAACAACAATATAGTACTATATAATACTAATATTGTACTATTCTAATATAATATATTGTATATACATATGACCTTGAAGGTGGTGACGGCCGACAGGGAGCTCTGGCGTGGGCTGGTCCATGAGGTCACGAAGAGTCGGAGACGACTGAATGAATGAACAACAACAATACGAATATTGTACTATGCTCATAATATATTGTATATACATATAATATAATAGTATATACATATGACCTTGAAGGAGCTGGGGGTGGTGACGGCCAACAGGGAACTCTGGCGTGGGCTGGTCCATGAGGTCACAAAGAGTCGGAAATGACTGAACAAATGAACAACAACATATAATATTGATAATATAATGTAATACTAATAATAATACAATATAATAATAATTATATATTAGATGTAATATTACTAATATTACAGTGTAATGGTATAGTACAATATAGTAAAATATAATGCTAATTTTGTAGTATGATAATAATATAATATATTGTTATAATATAATATATTATTATTATATAATCCGCTACCGGGCACAATTCAAGGTGCTGGCTTTAGCCTATAAAGCCCTAAACGGTTCTGGCCCTGCTTACCTCTCCGAACGCATCTCCACCTATGAACCGACCAGAACATTAAGATCGTCTGGGAGGCCCTGCTCTCGATCCCGCCTGCGTCACAGGCGCGCTTGGCGGGGACGAGAGACAGGGCCTTCTCAGTGGTGGCCCCTCGGCTATGGAATGCCCTACCGGCAGACATCAGACAGGCACCTTCGCTGCTGACGTTTCAGAGAATGGTTAAGACCTGGCTTTATGAACAAGCGTTTGGTTAAGCAGTGCAACCAATCATAGGAAGACGGTAAATGGAACATAGGAATGGCACAAGGATTATGAGAACGGATCTGATTTCAACTGAGGCGTTATGTTATTCTGTTTTGTTGATCTGTCTTCTTGATTGTTAACTGTTGTGGATTGATGTTGTTGATCCTGTTTGTCACACGTGTTGCGTTTTAATTGCACTGATACTGCTAATAATTTGTATCTTGTAAACCGCATAGAGTCGCCTGTCTGGGCTGAAATATGCGGTATAGAAATAAAGCAAATAATAAATAAATAAATAAATAAATATTGTATGTGCATATAACTTGTCAGCTGCTATGAGTCCCCTCTGGGTTAGAGAGGGAAGGGTATAAATATAGTAAATAAATTAATAATATAAATAAACTGATCATATTTTCAGGGGGTTTTTTCGTGTCAGGAGCGACTTGAGAAACTGCAAGTTGCTTCTGGTGTGAGAAAACTGGCCATCTCCTTGTGAGAAACTTCTCTCATATCTCCGCATGAGGAGCCGGAGCTGACAGAAGGAGCTCCACCCTCTCTCCCCGGATTCAAACCTCCAACCTGCCACTCTTCAGTCCTGCTGGCACAAGGGTTTAACCCGTTGCGCCACTGGGGTGAATTTATTCTTATTCGTATGTAACCCTCTCCCAAAGTGCATCTAATAGGGATTACTAATACGTTTGTTTACAGGCTAATTATGATAATTTATGTATATAATGTTATTATAAATTGAGCAATAGGGGTAAAAGTGAATTAAGGTCTTAAAGAACACAGGTTAACGTTCTGTGCTATTCATAGCATATCTTGTAGTCTACAGTCCCTATCTTGCAAAGTAACTGATGGTGTAATTTGCCACTGCATTGCATGATAATACCTCAGTTGGAGGACACCACACAAATCACTCCCCCAAACCCCCTCTTTATTCCTTTTTTTGAGAAAACCCTATGGAATTCAGGGGGTCACCCTAAAATAACCTGAAGGGCAGGCACACACACATACAGGCAGTCCCCAAGTTACAAACAAGATAGGTTCTGTAGTGTTGTTCTTAAGTTGAATTTGTATGTCAGTTGGAGCACGTACATTTTTAATGTAACTCCAGCCAAATGTATATGTATTGGATAAGCTTTGGATAGCACAGGGAAGGGTTAACACCCCTGTGGTGTTTGTTTTGCTGTCTGTGCAAAGATTTAACCTCACTTTCTGTCCTAGTGTTTTGGGACAAAAAGGCATTACTTTAGAGATCATAACCTTTGAAAAACCAGAATCTCCATAACCTTTTGGAGAAAATGGCATAAAATTCTTCATAACCTTTTGGAGAAAAATCACAACCTTTCAAAAATCATTACCTTTTATGAAAGTATGATTTTCCAGAGAAAAGCCAAAAACTCATTTGAATAAAATCTTCTTTTCAGTGGTACATAACCACATGTACTTATGCAAGGCCATTTGGTTTTCAGTTGTTAGACTGTTAACCTAGTTGTCTCTGACCTGTTAGGAACAGAGATAATGCCAATACACAAAATATAGCAGTTCTTCAGAAGTGTTCTTTTCAGTGCCCAAAACTATCTACTCTCCCATAAAATATTTTGTTTCTATATCATGCTCTCAAGAAACGAAAATAAACATACTTGGTTTACTCACAACTTTCATGTATTCAGCATACAGGTATATAACTTGTCAATCCAGTTACAGATCGGTTTTGAAGTAGTTTTTTAGTGCAGATAACACATGGCATCTTCCTTACAGTCAACAGCAACACGAGCTTGCTCTTAACAGTCCAAAGTCTCTGTGTTCCAAAATGGAGTCTGAGCTCTGAGTAGTCTCAGATCTGATCATGATGTCTGCAGCCCCTCCTACAACCTCAAGAAACAGAGTAAAGGGAAAGCTGCATACCAAAACATGCATACACAATAATGTAAGCAAACAGAATAATATACAAACAAATTATTAGTGGAGGCTTGAAGAAGGTTGCTATTTCCTATTGGATTTTGAAAAAATGGGATTGTTGTGGAAACAAGGATTAGTAATAAAGCTTCAGTGGAGACATCTTTTCCCCATGATAACCCTTTCAGGAGTGAATTTCCCATCCTAGGGGTACATTTCTCTCACTTCCTGTTGTCTCACCCCCCCCCCCCCCCCCCCCCCCCAAATTCTTAACTATGAGTTGTTTGTAAGCCAGATGTCTAGAACTCGGGAACTGTCTGAATATTGTTTTGAAAGTACCTGGATCCCAATCTACACCAAATGAATAAGATTGAAAAGGAACTGCTCTGAGAGTCCAATTCCCACAAACCAGTGGATATTATTTAACATTTAGTCTCAAAGTCGCCAAGCCCAAAGTTCAGCACCTAAAATTCATAAGTTAAATTTAAATTTGCCTTATTTCTGGGAACCAAATGTGTGCTTATTTCTGTGACATATAGGTTGGTCTTAATCAATGTATTGTCCAACTCCCAGCAACTGTAGCCTTGGCTTTTTCACTTCCCTCGTCATAATATGCCTTGAGTTAAATGCATGCTCTTGATGTAGGCGAAAGGGATCTGCTGAACAAGCAAAATTGGTCAAAGCTTAAATATGTTCCTTCTTGCTGATCTGACAAGGATGAAGAGACATCTCCAAAGTGACCCTCAAGTGATACGGTTATCATCTTTGTGGTTTTAAAAAACGACGACAACTTGCCCTGCATAAACAAAACAGAGTTCTAATCTTGTGAACTGGACTAAAGGTCTTCAGAAGCAAACAGGCTGCAGCCTTCAAATGAATCCTTATGGCATTTTTTGCACACTTCAGTGGGGCTATGGAAAATGTTGCCTAACTGGGTTAAGGCTGAGTTAACTGAGGTGAGACATGCCCAGAGGGGTGGTAATGGCAGTTAGTTGCAATAGAAACAACACACACACGCGCGCGCGCACACACATTTTAGTGCCTTGTATGTGTTTAGGTAACTAACAGCTTATGGAAACCTTGAATTTCATACAATTTTCTTAACCAGAAATTCTCAAAGGTGGTTTGCTATTGCATTACTCTGAAACATAGCTTGCAGCATCTGATATTTCTGGTCAGTCTCCCATCCAAGTACAAAGTCTGACTCAGGGTAGCTTCCAAAATGAGATAGAATTGAGCACTTTTAGGATATTTAGGCCCTTGTGGCATCTTAAACCTTAAAAATTTATAAAGTTGTAAAGTTTTATGGAATGTGGTCCAAAAATCAACTATTGCTTTATGGAAGGGGAGGGGGCATGCTTTTACACCTCCTCAAGCTCTTAAAGCTAATTTCAACTGAAGACAATCCCCAAACTAGAAAATAGAAAGCAAAAGTGACATTTGTTCAGCTCCAGGTATATTTTGGGGCTGATCTCTGGTTGAAAACAGAAGTGAGACCCACCAGTGGTTTGCGCTAAGAAGCAAATCGCCCTTTCTCCTTCTGTAGTAGCCCACTCCAGTGTAAAGTCTAGTTAATGACCCATGATGATTCACCCTCACCCTATGGACTGTTTTTAGCTATAGCCCTATAGACAATCAAATGTCACTGACCCAAGTATTGATCAATTCTGCCTTTATTACCAAAAGGTTTTCTCTAGTGACCAATGATTTTTCTGATAGATGTTTGTATGTAATTGTTTACTTTTCTGGCTCACATAACACCAATCAAGTAAAATGTGCCAATTTCTCCCTCAAAAGGGCATCATTGTGGCATTCACAGTACTATTTTCTTCTTGGCATGGTTTGGAACGGAAAGCAGTGTGGAAGGAAACCAGGGGCCCTTTCACATGCTATTATACTTTAGCTGCCATGGCTGCATCCT